AGGCCAATTTCTTTCAGTTTTGACCAGCTGGACGTCGAAATGGCTTTGCAGAAGTCCAATAACGACTTGACTAAAGCTTACAATCTTTTATCGGATAATAAAGAACCTGTTCATGATGTTTTTGCTTCAGGTAATGTTTTGTTGCTGTGAGGTTACACATAATACACGATTTGACAAGTTTTTATTGTTTGTTGTTCAGCGGCTACCGAATGGAGTACAGAAGACCATGAAGCTGGCCCTTCAAGCGATATTTTCCCAACATCATCATTTAGAAATATGCGACGGGCTGTGAAAAGTGATGATTGTAGTATATTTGCTAATGAGATTTCAATTGTGCGCTGCATCGAGGTTTCGTTTTTTTTTCATTTTGTCAAAGTGTGTTCATACTTCGTTTTGGCCGTTTGGAGCAACTAGGAAAGTGTAGGTATCGATCCAGCGGATTGAGCGTTTAGAAGCGTTTTGAGCGTCAGCGTTTGGAACGTGCACTAGCGTCTTCAGTCATAATTGATACCCATACTTTCATAGACGCATAGAACGTTGGCGGACGCTACAGATCGACGCCTATACTGCTAGTCGCTCAAAGCGCTGCCGCCAAATATTAACACACTTTTAGTGCTCTCATCTCGGAGGGTTTTGTAAATAATTGAAGGATTTCAGGCATCAAAGGGTTTGCTCATCAATAATGTATTTGATCCTGTATGTAGTGAATTTGTGGACGTTTATCTCCCAAAGTGCATCTCAATGCATGTCAATCCGCCTGAGGTAATGCATAATCTAGCTGAATCAGAAAACTTGCCACGAAGATGCTAGGATTAATTTTACTAGCGATCTTCGAGACTTGAAAGCTCGTTCTGTTTGTTGTGAAGCGTTGAAACACTTGCCTCTGATTCTTCTTACACGGTCCATGGCGCTGTTCGGCTTGGGAGGGGCGTTTTGCAGCTTTCCTAGTTCCCTTTGCTAGCTTCTATAAATATGTACGTTACTCAAGGTACCGGTAGATTCTTGCCATGTATAAACGATGCACCTGCAACTTTACTAGAATTGACAGGTCTCCCAAGGAAGACCTGGAATTTCTTGAAAAATGACGCCTCCCAACTCGAACTGGGCGCTGTTATCATAATTGGGGGTGTAAATCCTTTAATTTATTCTGTTTCTTCAGCATCTGTTCCTCAACGATGACATCCTCGGTCAAAGTGTCCATTTTTCTAAGGAAGTTGCTCAATTAATACCTATCAGGTAAAGTTTTTATGGAGAATTCTTTATTCAGCTAGAATATCGATTTTTTTTATTCAAAGTCTTATCAAACGGTGGTTGCCAATTTTTAACTAATGTATAGAACACCTTTTTCTCTACTCCCGGATATAATCCCTTGCTGCCGTTGTAGTTTTGCGAGGAAGTCGAAGGCAAAAGGGTTGACTTTAAGGCAGTTCGCGCACGCAAGCGACTCTTAGGCGTCCTTCCAGTAGTCTGGTCCTCAATCTCCGAAATTGTCCCACTTTCGCGGTTCAACAGTAAGTTGCGAAGGCGCTGCGGACCTCTTAAGTGGCTTTTGTTACGATTCATGTCCCCGCCCACCAAAAACGTGGAGAAACTGTAAGTTAGCCACAGGTGGCAGGATATTCCTTCGCTGGCATAAAGTGAACGGATCCGAACAACTCGTCCGTAGAGACTGTCACGAGGTCCCTACTTAGAGTGTTCTTCATGACTCTTTTTTGCTTTTACTTCCTTGGGGAGTCATTTAGCGACTATACTTGTATTATAATTGAACGCCAATATCCACAATGTGCGATTTGTTTCCAAGAGATACGTTTGTAGGCGACTAATTTTGTTGTTCTGTGTTGCAGGTTATCGAAACTGCCTGTATCAAGCTCGTTGTGCCATGCAATGACTGATCTGTTCAACCCTCGTAATAAGATGTTTTGTGCATACCGTCGTCTTTCACCTTCGGAAGTGCAGTAAGTATCCTATTGACCGAAGGATTTTAGCACGAGCTCCAGTGGAAGAAAGTGCATGTTGTGGAGAGGGGGTGGAGTAAGGCGACCACTCGTCAGTGCCTCCATATCACTCCCCCTAATCATAGCCGAAGCTCAGAATGCGGACCACGAGAGGCACATTTAATGCGACAGAGAAGAGATATCTCCATTAAGCTCAAATCCTTAGCGATAGAAAGGGATGTGGAGGCTTTGGCGAGTGGTCCTCCCCTCAACTATGTTAGCCTCGAGAAGGGCTCGCAGCGAACGGAATAAGCGGTGTTGTCAAAACAGCTCCTTTGTTAGCATAAGTGCATACCTAAAAAGAGGCGCTTCGCAATGTCTGTTGTTTAGGAACCGTTCTTTCGATATCCAGGTATCTTATTGTGATATTAGAAAAACGATGAATGGCAAAGAGCACACACATAGGTTGCTACAAGTGGGTTAAATTGAAACCTTCAAAAGAGGTTTTTCTCCTTTTACCCATCATATCAACATAGTACAGGAATTGATTGATCTCTTCGTATCGTCGTCAGGATTTTCAAATGTAAACGAACTTTTGCGAAATCATCGTGATATTTTGACACCAAAGGTAGGTTTCGTTAGTGGGAAGGGGGGAGGGGGGTATGGCAATTCAGTTGTCCCTAGACTTTTTTATTTTCAGGACGTTTTTGTCCTGCTCTCAGCGTTAGATTGCATGCGGAATTTTCTTGATGGAGCTAAAATGCGTCACATATTGCTTTCTCTTGTGGAAGGATCGCTTGATATTATCAATGAAGTGCCTGAAAAGTCAATCCGTGACTCGGTAAGCAGCGCTATGTTGTAATCACTTTATGAACTTTATTTTATATTTATTAGTTAGCTATGGCGATTGTTACAATTTGTTTTGACATGATGTTTGGGCTTCTTCGTACTCTCCGCACTTGGAGCTTCTCTGCTAATCTTTTTCGTCCCAGGGTCGGTGAGCTTGATCTCCAAGCATTCGATCCTCATGGCTGATCAAGATTATTATTCCTTAGCGTGACTACTTCCCCCTTCCCCCCCCCCCCGGGTAGTGTTGATATAGGCCACATCGCACTTAATAGGTCACTATGAATCTAAATGGAAGTAGATTGTTATCACAAGAATGCTGAGTTGTGGGCAAAAGTCGTGCCCCAGGCGGGAGTCGGACCCGCAACCATCGCGCTTTCCGGCGAGAAGTACCGAGAACAGTTTTCGGAACGGTGGATTTTTGCGAGTATGGAGAACTGGGATCATAAGAATTCGGCGATTGGGAGAATGCGCGACCCACAAGTGAGGCAGAAGTAAGTCGGCCCCACAGCCTCAGCTTGTGTGTCGTCGATTCTGTTGAGTTTGAGCGGTCGCGCGAATCGTAGATTTCGTTGGTACGCTTTTGGCCATGCTGTACCTTGTTGGCCAGTTCACCTGACAATCCGGATGGACTTCGAAGCTTGAAAAGGCATCAGAGCTGCCAATCCATTTATGGGAAATACAATGTTTGAAGTGTAGCTTGCAAATGTTTGAAGCGGTCTGGAAAAAAAACTGTGAAAATCTCATCTCTGTTCCATTTAAGCTATGTCGTACTCACATAATGGATGATCGATGAGTGGGATTCGACAAGATGGAATTGGAGTTTCTGGAACGCAAGCACTTTTTCATGTAATCATGGTTTACTGAAATTCTTCTTACGCTGTATTACATGTAATCAACTTGATGCAAAAGTCTTCGCATTTCATGAGGTAATTCGTACATGGATATTTCCATTATTTGATGACCATATTCTGATTACTCTTTTTTGGGCTGGTTCAGCGTAGGGAAGTTGGCTGTAAAAACTCGGTCATGTCCAAGTGTTCTTTGATATCAATTTGTTCAACTCATGGCTCAAAGAGAATAATATTCTCAAGCATGGTAAGCTACCTTGTCTTGTCTGGCAACGTACCATTTTGTGCACGGGACGGGGTGATAGTTTGTGAAAAGCTTTATTCATACCTTGTGGAGAGAGAATAAAGCATCGGCGGACTCGGCGTATTGTAAATCCGCGCTGATGCGGAAAGCTGGCTGTAGTTTATCATGGTTCGGTGGCTGGAAGGGTTTAGGGAGAATAATGAATGAGGAGTAAGTGTCGATTTGGCGGTTGGAAAGAAGTACGTATCGTTTTCAGATCATTCGAAGGTGCCTTTCTCCTATCTTCTATTCTCCCATGTGCTAGATTGATAACCACACTACCCATTGACGAGCATCATCCTGAAAAGTCGAGGCGCCTATTCTCCCATTCTCCTGCCACAAAGTATCAGCGCGGCCTAAAGAATGGTTCCTTATTCGAAACGAAAGGGCTGTGTAGTTGAAAGGGTGAGGGCATGTTGCGAGAAAAGCTCTGTCGCTAACGCACTTGGTGCACTCACTAGGCTACCTAACCGCCAAAGGTACGAAAAAGAAGAGATTGGTGTGCCCTTCATTCTTGTCTCTCAGTGGATGATAAGGGCGTCTTTCTCCATTGGCGCTCCTTCTGGCGCTAATTTTTTCATTCGCAGTTGAGTTTCGTTCCCGACGAGCTGCGCAGTTTTTTTTAGCTCTCCAAGGAAATATGGATCAGCTGACCTACCTGGAGAAGATCAGACCGATATTATCGTACATGACGTCGGAAATGTCAGCTAGTGATTTATGTAAGTGAGCGCTTTCGTGATTTTTCTTTCGCTTTCACTGTTATTTTTCTCATCCATTTTCAACGTCAAATTTTTCTTTTAAGCGGGTGTTTGGTCACTGCGGAAGGGTAGAATGGGAGTGTCAGCTGATAACTTCTCCACGATTCTTGTTCAAATTGGGAAAGGTCTCAATTGCGAGCAGATTGGCTGGCTGGAACAGTTGTTTATTAAGGTAAATATGTTCATTTCTGACGTACAGTCGTTGTCCGTGAAGTCAGTGGGGAAGTGTCAGCGCTCCATGGGTTTTAGCGCGGTACTCCCCAGCTCATTTTCCATCGTCGTTTGCGGGCTTCGGCCATTCATGAAGGTGGGAAAGGGCTGGTAGCGCGCTAAAACTCACGCAACGCTGACACGCCCCGAACAACTTCGACAATGACCGCTGTATAACATAACTCCCAATGGTCACACGATTTTCAGTGCTTTCACGCTAACGAAACAAGGATGTATGATCGTATTTTTCTCTGCTGTAGGGATATTGGTATATATTCGGAATATCCTCAAATTGCTGAAAAGGTAGAAGCGCTTGATTGTCTACTAAATAGGTGCTCAGTGATGAAATGTTTGTGGAGAATTTTAAAAGAGAACTCTTGTGTTTTTTAGATGCTCTCAATTATGTGGAACCTCATTGGACTCGCTCGAAAAAAGAATTTCTTGACAACGAATGCTGTCAAATGGTTCATTGAGCTAGTTTCTAATAAGAAGGACTGCTTATCAAGATGCTTATATCAGAAAATGTCTCGACACGCTAACTGTTCAAACGGTATGAGTCAAGAAATTATTTTGGCAAGTTTCATAGTGAGGGTGGTTGGGTTTTAACTCAGAATTTTTAGCACTTTGGATACATTATTTCCCTATTTGGACAAATTATTTCCCTTAGATGAGAAATATTTGGTGCCCATCACAGTTCGCCAGGCCTTCGTCGGTGCGAGCCACTGGCATCTGTTCCAGTAGTCCGTGACCTGATCGCTTGCACTCTCTCCCACCCATGAGCTCGGATAAGGAAGGGAAAATAGACATCCTTTCATGTGACCCACGCGAAGCACGCTAGTGCCGCATCCATTTAAATTGAAAGTGAACTGGCGAAGAATTCGCATGAAGCTTTGAATGGTATAACTGGTCCTGCCGCGTTTCGATGTTCCCCGTTCGGCGAACGATGCATCAAATGGGAGAAATCTAGACGAATGGGGCGAATTGAACGCGGGCTACTTCGCTCAAAATGTAATAGTCGGTGAGACATATTTGATTGTTCTCTTGTCTCGAACACCGCTGCTCGCACATTCTTTCCCGTTCCGACGAGTTTTTCAAGGGACCGTATTCTGCAACTCTTTCTCTCGAGAGAATGTTACCCTACATGTTTTTAGAGCACAGTATTTCTCGCCTTGGAGAGGATTAATTTATCAAATTTCCCAGCAATACATGTTTATTTTAGACGATCACTTTCCCACCTCATGCCTTGTTATATTGCGTGAATTGCTAGAAATGTCTTCAAATATAGTTTCTCAGGCGAGAAATTGCAGACCAAGCTCTAGAGGCTTCAGGAGTCGCGATCAGTGGGGCGGTAAGTGCTCTTCTTCATAGGCAATGGGCTCGATTGTCCCTTCCACCAGTGCGTTGGCAACGACCGACTGCCCCAGCAAGTGTCGCAATTGCTTTCTCTTTGTTTTGGGCACTACTAGATTTAACATATTTTAGACGCTGTCTTTCCTCTTTGTTTTGGCACACTACTGATGTACATATCTTTAGATCTTTCTCGTCTGGAATCGAATCTCGAAGAAGTTAAATCACTTCTTCGTGATGTAGACTTTGTAAAGACCCTATATGAGAAATTGGCATCGTGTAAAGAACTAGCTCGAAGTAAGTTTACCTCCTGTTCCTGCAGTTAGCAGTTGAATTCTCATGCTTGTATTGTAGAGTTGGCGAAAGATGAGTCGGAAAACTTTGAACAATTGGCTGCGGTAGTAATATCAGATGGTTGTTCATACTCGTTCGCGGTTAAGAACATACTCGACGTTCTGAAATGGCTCTTTTTAAATCAGGTTTGAACCAGCAGATTTCTTCTAAGAACTTCCTTTCTCCTACTAGTTCTTGGGATTTCTGGTCCGAAATTTGAAAAATGTTAAGGTGGTTGAATTTTCGACTGAAATCTGTAATTATCTTTGGGAGACGTTATCATCAGGTGGCAGTGATCACTCGTCAGAGACTAAAGTAAGCTCTCTTTATTTATTCTTTTGTTGTTTCTTTTGGAATTACCAAACTGCTGGACCATTGATTGATCTGCTAATGAAAAGTTGTAGAAAATTTTGGCTACCATGGTTCCGATTTCTTGATTCCTTATTGGTAGACCCTTGAGGGCAAACTATACATCCATTTCCTAGGACTGTCCTCTACAAATACGGGTAAGTGGATCCGCAGGTACTGAGCGTGCCATTTTCTCCGGACAAAAGTGCATGGGAACGGGGCTGAGTGTAGCAATACTCCACTGGCTTCCCATTTTGCGCCCGCGCTATATTCAGTGTGCAGCGCGTGCGTCGATGCTAGGGTCCTCCAGCGAAACAGGCACTTAGCGGTAGAGAACACCCAGAAGTGAGAGAGCTAGACAAATAGCGTGTTTAACTATGGCTAGATGTGTGACTGGTCTTGTGGCAGCGTGGGCGGAGAATGGAGACGGCACTCCGGTGTTACTGCCTTCCAGTCCCGTTCCTGTAAATTTTGAACGGAGAAAATGGCATGTTGCTGCAGCTTCCACCCTCTTCCCCTCACACATAACAAGGTTCAGGATCCACGGAGGGATAAGCATGTTTTTATGTTTTTGTCTTTTATTGTCCCTAAAAGTTATTGTTCAGTTGCTGTTCGAGTGGTTAACGGAATTATAATGTTTCTTGCATCAAAGCGCCTACCCTGACCACACTACTGCAAAATTTCTGTACAATACCTGCTAATGAACTCACTTTGGATGGTTTGTTAGTTCTATTTTGTAAATGTTCATTGATTCCCAACGTGTTAGTGCAATAATGCTTTTGAAGGCTTGAAGTGTTTGTGCCACCTCATGGATTCCAACGAGGACAGACGGTTTCGTGATAAGGTAGGTAACAAATGTTGATCAAATGTTGACCTTTCCAAGGAACTACGATTGCTAGAGGCGGGCGGTTGTAACCAACGTCATTGGTGGAAGGGTGGAGTGAGGTGTGGTCGAGCGCCTCTTTATGCCTTTCCACTAGTGACACTGGCAACAACTGCCCGCTTCCAGGTTCTCCCGTTGCTCTCCTTGTGAGGGCTGAACGGAGCAGAGCTGCTCCAAATCACCAAGTCTGCCTCAGCAGCCAAGTGTGCTCCGATTCTGCTTTCCTAATTTAGGGAGCGCCCCGGCTCCCCTTCTTCAGTGAAATAGACTTTTCCTAGGCTAGCTTTTTAATAGCTTTCCGGCGGCCTAATTTAAAGGTCATTTCAATAGCTTTTCCAATTCCTTAGCTTATTAATATCAGGCTAGCGCTCGGTGTCTTGAGTACATGTGGGAACTATTGGAAGTAGCGGAAAACAAGGCAATAGTTCGTGAAGTGATGCAAAAACTCATTGAATTTGGTGAGAGTTTACGTTCTATACTACTTTACTTGTAACTACCATGGTGTTTTTCACCCCTTTCATTACAGCCAGCCGCAATAGTGACTGCTCACAGTATCGGTTGTTTCTCACTACATGCTACCACCGACTGGATAATTTACGAACGTCTGTTTTTCATAATTTCTACACTTTTCCTTTCCCTTAATCCGTTTCTCTAGCAATAATGCAGTTAGGACAGCAGTTGTGCATTTCAAGTGAGAATCCGGTCAGACTCAGCGGTGACGCACGTCGACGCGCTACTATTGCAACGGCGCTCTAATCCTATAAACGCAAACACAGCCGCAGACGGGAATCTATCGACGCCTGTCGCTTATGTATTGAGAGAGTATTGGCGAACAGTAAGGTACGCATTATCTTATCATGCCTGCTATCGATCGGCTCTGGCCGCCAGGGCTTCGGAAGAGTTTAGAGCAACGTGAGAGTGCCAGATTGTATGAAGGTGGCTCCCGCCTCCTGTTATCCTATACTCTATCAAAACACAAGCCGCCAAAGCCGATCGATTCCCATCTGCGCCTCCGTTTAAGTCCATAGCACTGGGGTGCCCTTTCTGTGACTGAGCGGAGACGCGCGTTGCAGCGCGTTACAGAGTGTCGACGCGCGTCATCGCGATGTCTGAACGCTGCTCGAGTGTCGAAGGCGCTGGCATCTAAGTTGCAGTCATATACGGTACTTCGTTTAGTATACTGTGGTCAGCTGCTACCTATGATGACCGCAGCTCTCTAGTCGCTCAGAGGCGCTGCCGCCAATGTGGAACAATTTTCGCGATTGCGCACGGGATTACTTGCGCGAGGAAGGAATAAAACAAACTAGTTGGGCCCAGGGTCTGTCTTTACGAATGAAGATGAATTATTGCTAAAATACTTTACTTTTTGAAGCGGCATCAGTAGTGTGCTCTACAACTGTTGCTGTTCAGAGAGTATTTCCGGAGGATTGGTCAGACTGCCTGTCCGAGCCCCAGTATTTCCAAGTCGTCCACAAGGCAAGTAGAATCAGTTCTCTTGATTCAATTTTTTTTCGAGATTTTTTGAAAATTTCAGTTCGGAACCGCGAGAACTTGAAGATCAACGAAACACTTGTCGCCAAGATGAATCGGAATGCAAAGAAGATGCCGCTCAAGCGAAAACTTCTCAAGACACACTCTGCGAGACATTGTTCTCAAATGGTTCCTCATCACCTGTCAATCGTTCGACGGCAGAACTTTCCCCAATTCTGTTACTTCGTGGTATAGATCGCCTTCTGCAGCTTATAGCCATATTTGTAGAGTCTGAGGACAATTTATTCTTTGTGAGTGCTTTTCCATATGTTTTAGTTGACTTTTTTTTCATGGTCATGCTTATTAAACGTGCTTAGATGCCAAGGCATTACCCACCTCATGGCGGACTGGTCCCTGGCCGCCCGCTACGCATTTATTGCCGTATTGAAGATGATCCATCTGACGAAAATTCTCTTATGTTTCGTACCAATTCTCATGAAACCATTGGGCAATTTCGATCTCGTCTCTCCAACAGGTTACACTTTGTGAGTTTGTTACTTCTTTCATAATTTAAGTGAATAGCTTGTCATAATGGTAATCAAGGACAGCGAATTGTAAACTTTGTTAGTAATTTCGGAGTATGGTGCTGTCCCGGAGTCTCATTACTCATCTGAATGTGTATTAACAATGTGAAACTCCAAAAGTTTATTCCAAAAAACTCAAAAGACAGCAAAAGTCTCAAAAGTTTTTTTTAAAATATCTTATCTGGCTATATTTCGGTGCGTAGCACCTTCTTCAGGCCGAGATATTTGTTATTATATTATTTGTTAGTAATTTGTTTGTCTATTTCGATCTGATCGCGGTCTGGGGGTCGAATCCCAGATCGGCTCCCACTCAGGCCAAACAAGCCTTGCACCTCCGTGAACGTTGAATTTTACTCGATTTGTGTGGGAGGATAAGAGCACTGACTTGTACAACGGATGACCCCCGCACTTCATTGTATAGGCCACATCGCATCCAGTAAGGTACTACGATTCTGAATGAAAGCAGAATGTGTGCCTGATCCTAGGAAGGGATTGGGCGACGGCGAAGACTATCACTTTATCCTTATTTCCTGGTCAGTCACAATCTTAGGTATAAATCGAACGAATTCGGGATGATACTAGTGGTTAACACAAGTTTTAATTCATCAGTAACATGGTTGTTCCGCAATTCGAGCGGCGGAGAAGACACTCGTACTGTGTCGTACCGTCGCGAGCAGCATACAGGGTACAGCATCGTTGTGTGAAAAATAGGGAGGTCGTACTTTTTTCGATGGAAAAGTGTGTCGTATTTGGTGGTTGTTGGAGAGGGGGGGGGTCGTATGTGGCTTTGAGACAAAGTTGCCGCGAAAAAAATTTCTTCCCGGTTGTTGATTTGCGCGTGAGTTTTTTCTGTTTCATATGTACTATTCACCCCCACCCTTCGGCAGCAAAATTTTGTTAGGGAAGGGAGGGGATCGTACCGACACCACTATTTCACACATCGCGATGCTGTGCCCTGGCAGCACACCAATACGTGCAAATTCTTGATGTGCATCGAGTTGCCAGCTGTAGCAGTGAATTCAAGCGAAGGCAATACTCCATGCCCGTGATATTGTCTTTTCCCCGTCTCGTAACGTCCAAATTCTGCAAAGACAGGCAGAAGAACTATAGTCTCCCATGTGCGCGACGTCGCTCGAAACGTCCCTCGGCAATCATATACCCGCTGATTTTTTATGAGTGGGTCTGCTCCAGTGTTTCCGGTTGAGAAGATGACAGCCGTTATACTGCGTTGTATCGAAGTAAAGTATCGATCAGATTCAGCAGCTATCAATTCGATTTTTGAAGTTGCGCGATATCCCAGAACGTCGAATCGCCGAATATCCTATTCACCAGTAGTAGAGTATGAACGCAATCCTAGGAAGGATACTGTGGAGAAGGGCTTGTTAAACGGGTCTGAGTTTATTTCCTGCATCCTGCCAACCCTATGCCAATTCTTCCTCTAGAATAATTGGAGTTCGAGGAGTTTGTAGTGATTGGACCTCATTGTATGGATCTGGCCTTTCAATATTTTTCATTACAATTGTCGAAATTTCAGAGATCAATTGGAATATATAGAATTTACGTGCAGAAGGGAGAAAAATCAGTAGAAGTTCCGTGCTCTCATGAATGGAAGACCCTTGAACAGGTATGTTTGACGGAATGTTGGACATTTAGTTTTCGCAATTCGGCAATTTGGGGAAGAGGGGGAGGCATTCTGCACTTTCGCTGCTTCTCTGGTTCCGATTTACATGTCTCACTCTGGTGAAATGTGTGAACTCTTGTGAAGCTGGGGCAGACTCGTCAAGCCTCCCCCCCCCGTCGCCAAACTGCACCCTTTTACTTTTCTTTGTCTCTCCTTTAATCTTTTTCCCTTCACAAGGTAAACGTTTAGGTTGGTCTGGCATCATATCGTGATGGTATTTGCGAGACGGAAGATATCGACATATCCATTCGATGTCCACGTTTGAGGTTGTTCTTCCCTCTCTCCCGTAATTTCTTTTACTGAATACTGAAATTTAGCGTTTCTTCTGTGAAGTGCGATACCGGAAAATTTATCTCCGAAAAGCAGCTGCCTGGCGTCATAGTTCATGAGACTAGCGGCGTAAGTGGCTTCTTTGTGTAGCGTTCGAGACGTCTAGTTTGATTGAGCTCACTACTTATTTATTTAGGTCTTCGAAATGTTGCATGAACTCCAAGGAATCGCAGATTTGGAAATACAAAAGTCTTGCCGTCGGATTCTTTCTCTGATCCCTGTCGACCCTTCGGTACTATCTGCTTTTGCTGTTGAAGTGAGTTTTCATCGTTCATACTTTGGACGCGGGGAAATGGAGAATAGGGGAATTGGAGATTAGGAAAATCTTCCGCGAAAGAAAGTATCACCATTGATCGCACTTTCAGAGACTAAGATACTGTGGAAACGAAGCGGAGAAAATAGGTACCACTTGGTCGGCTCCGATTCTCCTGCTCACCTAACAATTCGCCCGTGTCGCGCCATACGACCGGGGCCTAACCCCTGAATTTGCGACCATTGCATTGAGGCACACAGTCCTTTCTTCTTTGTGTCCTCTCCTGGAGTGGTGCACTCACGTTTTAACTACACCGTAGGTCCAATAAACTTAGGAGGTTGCCATGGTATTAGTCACTTCCCCCTACAGAAGGCATATCGGAATATTATCCCTCGCGCACAGTATGGTTCACTGCGGATGCTAGGGCGTGTCAGGAGGCCGGGTTTGGCGCAGAGCCGCCCCTCTACCAATTTTTGCTGTTTGCATGGCTCATAGTTGGTGGAGAACACTGGCGCCCCACACAACGCAACCACTTGGTGCGCACAAGCATTGACAGAGAATCAGACTGGAACTGCTACTGTACTCATTCTGCGTTTCATGAATTTTCACGCGCTCACTGCTTAAGGCAGTGGGCACGATGGCTGGGGTGGACGGTTACTGACAGCGTCATTGGTGTAAGGGCTGAGTGGGTGTGGCCAAACGCCCTCTCGAAGCTCTTCCACTAATGACGTTTGCAGTAACTGCTCCCCTCCCCCCAGCCATCGTACCGACTGCCTCTAAGGTGATGTTTGACATACAGTTTTGTTTCCTTTATGTGTGAGTCATTCTAGGAGTCGCCGCCAAAAAGTGGGCATGGGGTATTCAACGATTCGGCTATCATCGAGAAACTCCTGAACCCTTCTGATCCATATAGGTTGTTGTACACGTTGGAGGTAAGTCTTCTCTTTCCGGATATCCCATCAGTTACGCTTGACATTGAAACTAGCGTGAACGATCCACATAAGTTCCCCAGCAATATGTTTACTCTCTCAATACAGTAGGCTACATTTTTAATTGATATTACATATTTCAAGGTGCTCTGTGGTCTGCTGGTACCAACATGTGCAAGCAAGATCACAGTAGCTACTTCTAATCGGCTTGCTCGTGCTCTTCTGCAGTCAAACGTGTACAAACACCTATTGAAGCTGCTCGCTCTTCCACATCTGATCGCTCCCATTACACCCTCGGACCGCACTCGGATGTTTGAGCTACTCACGTTAATTTTCTGGTGGGTCTTTTTTTCTGATAACGTGTTCTTTTTCAAAAACTTGCTAGTCCAGCTTGCCGTTTGTGCCCTTATTTTTCCACTGAAGCCGTGTGTTCCTCTCGGCCAGAAGGCATTTTTACATATTGCTTTGGCACAGATGCTTAATATTTGTTACCCACACACACATACGCTTCAGATCTAGGCCCTTTATACGGGCCTCTTTTCCGAAAAGCCAGGGAATTCTCATAGCCTGACCTGATTCAAAGTACTGGGCACTGTGTG